TTTTGGAGATATCAGTTAAAATTAACAGCACTTTTTTTGTACATGAAATTCTATTGCAAGAGACAAAATTGCTCTGTTTGACCCACATCTTGTATTTTTTCTCAGAATCTCAAGTAGCTTTACAAGTTTTAAATCGTGGCATGGTTTATCATAATACTCCTTGAAAAATAAGCAAGAAAATAGCATGTGTTTCGTGGAAAAAAGAAAAATTACTATACCTATAGAAATGCCATCTGTGGAAAATGGTAGGATCAGGAAACTGGACTTGATGAGTTGTGATGTTTCTTTGGTTCTAGTAATTTGGAACAAAATCTAGGACAAGCTCTTTGTTGAGAAGGGTGGTGATCTGGACTAGAAATGAGAATACCTGGTTATGGTCTCAGCCTTGCCATCTCGACCTTGGGCAAGTCACGAAGACCTTCATTTGTTCATTTCCTTTGTTCATTCAGTCAACAAACTTTTATGGAGTGCCTACCATGTGCCAGACATTGCACTAGGCTTTGAGGATAAAATGCTAAGAATAATAAATGAAGTCTCTCCCCTCATTAAACAGACAGATTAGTGGGCAAGACAAATATTAATCAAATCATTATACAACAAGATATATAAATATAAATGATCATTTCTATGGAGAGAAAGTGAGTGCTATGAGAGTATTAAAACAGGGGAATCCGATTAGTCTCAGAGGTCAGGGAAAGCGTCTGTGAGCAAGTGACCTCACATCTGGTCTACTGAATACGAGATACCTAGGCAACCTGCAGAAGACAGAGGGAGAAGAGTCTCAAACATGGTGAACAGCCGTCCTAGCGCCTGTGGCTGAAAAGGAACATGGCCCGTTACCATTAAAGCAACTGGAAGTTACTGTGCCAGAAGTAGAGGGAGCAAGGCGGGGGCCCGATGCAAGATGGGGCTGGAGAGGTATTCAGATCATAATCTCTCTCTTAGCAAGCAATGCTAAGTAATTGCAGGGTTTTAAGCATCCAAGCGACTTTATCAGACTTGCATTTTTAAAAGATTATTCTGGTTTTATTGGGGAGGACAGATTGAGCTAGAAAAGAG